CCCGGGTTGACCTCCATACACCGAAAATGGTTATCATACAATTCCATACATCAAGTGTATGGAAAAATGCTTGTCATACAATTTTCATACAAATTCTAAAAATGGTTGAAAACTGGTATAAACTTATTTCTGTGGATGTTTGATTCTTATAAAACAGTCTGGTGATAAAAAACTGAGGTTCTCGTTTTTTGAAAAAAAAATGCTTATCATACAATTCCCATATATGGGAATTGTATGACTGGCATTTTTTTGATGGCGACACAAAAAAATTTTCAAGTAATTTTGAAAATTTGGCCCAAGAATTTTTTTGTTTTTTTTTCAACCGCAAATCGAATTTCGTACGCAAACAAACATTTTTCAAAATTTTTTTTTGCATGCAAAATTTGTTATTTTGTGTGCATAACGTAGTCCTGGATACGATAAAATTGGCTTTTATTTTCTTTTCACTAAAATTTTTTTTCCAAAAACGCTGAAAATTCCTATTTCTTTTGTATGGGGTGTTAATGTAAGCCTTGATCAATGTCTGATAACTTGAAAATTCAAAAATTTGAAAATAATCATCATTAAAAAATTTTGCCAAAAAATAAAAGTTCGTTACTTTTGTTATAGCAATTGTGAAAAACATCCAAATTCAGGTCGTTTGCTATGTATTGTAAATGCAAGACCGTCCAACCTTTGGTGTTTTGAGTAACCAAGGTCTTTGTCACTTGTGTTCGGTTGCGAACACAACCGAAAATTTTTCAGAAACTAAATTAGAAAGAAAAAATCAAAATTTTTGGTAAATGGAAAAACACCTATCATACAATTTTCATATATGGAAAAATGTTTATCATAGAGATTTCATACAATGTTCTGTACGTATGGCATTGTATGGAATTGTATGACAAGAAGTTTTTCATAAATGGAAATTGTATGATTAGAAGTTTTGGTCAACCCGGGTGAATTGACATTGCAGTGTGATATATCAACAATGAGATATATCGTACCAACGTCTGTTTTGATGAAGCATTAGTTCTCAAACACTAAACCATTAATGCTATATGGATTACTTGTTTATCGAGGGAATACTTTTAAATCGTTGAACCAGATTTTAATGTGCCAGCTAAAAGTTTTAAGAATGGTTTATTTAATCAAAAATACAAACTATTTCCAAATTTTTTTTACATGAACGCGTTTTCATACTCAGTAATTTGTGTTCTTCTAGAACTTATTCATATAACAGGCAGAAGTTAAGCATTCTCACTCATATACCGCCTTTCTGTAAGAATAAAACAATCATGCTCATTAAAAATAGTGATTTAAAGTTGCTGAACGGGGCCTAGGAAATTCGACGAAAAGCAAGTTAGACGTGACCAACAAAAACGAATTTAGACATCGATGCAAAATTACAAATATGGGAAATTAGACGTTCGTGTCTGGAGTTTGTTTACCGACTACAATTAACTTTCGTTCAAGAAGTTTGTTCACCTATCTCAAATGCAAACCAATTTTTCACATGCCGCAATTTTCACATTCCGCATTTTTCACATGCCGCAGTTGTATAATTTATGCATTTCAAAATTGTTTTATGATCTTGAAATTAACATTTTGTAAAGCAATTGTGATAAATATTTTGATATGCAATGAGATCATATACTATTTTTGTAAATATGAAAATTTATTTTTGGCAATAAGTTTTGTTAGCCCTTTGCTTTCCGTCTAAAATGCTAGTTTTACAATTTAACGTCTAAAGTCATGTTTGTTGGTCACGTCTAATTGGCTTATCGTCTAATATCCTAACCACCTTGCTGCACATATAAAGTGATGCTTAGCCGCATACTATCAGAATTATATCGGATAATGATGAAAGTTTTAGTACATAAATTGAGAGACAAATATATATTAGGAAACAAACTTTTCAAAAATCTAGCTCAAGATATTTAGCTGTCTTTACTTCTTTTTTCATAAACTAATTTCTGATAAAACATTTTCACACTGCTTTTCTCTTATTTTTTTTCAATAAAAGAACACGACGAACAATGTTAAAGAATGAAAACGCTGAGCAATTTCTTCTGCATCTTGATTTGTAAGATCTTGTAAGGTTACATAGGTTCTTGTAAGGTCTGAAAGAGCTTATTAAAACCTGCATTTAAGATAGACATTGTTCAGAAATCTTTTTGTGCAAATATGATTGATGACATTGTTTCTGTGAAATAGTTTCTTTTTCAACTAAATCATATTATGAAATTGTTTTCAGGTGGAAATTTTACAAAAGTACACAAAGTGACACTTAAGTATCGTGTCTTCGTCGTATCGTGCGTACTTTTATTTCGCTTTGTCGCTTTGTCATACGTGAGTGTCGTATGTGAGCTTCCGTGTCGTTTCGCAAATGGTGCAAAAGCTTCGCCTAACGATTGCGCTGAAAAATGGTTAGCTAATTTCGGCGATGCTTGCATTATCGGATTTTCTGACCATTGTTTGTTTGCACAGCTGGCTTAGTTTTTTTTTAATTAAAACTACTCGCAACAGAGTACCTGTTCATAATGTCATCATCGAAGTCCCCGTGACTCATTCCGAATGGGTTGTGGTGGGACCCGCTCTCTGAGCATATCTGCTGTGATGAGTCACTTCGGAACAGACTGCCATACTGGTGCACGTGACTTCCGTGCAGTCCCTGACTCATTCCTCTCACTTTGAATCTGTATTCCAGACCAGAAGCCTAAAAAGTCAATTTTATCAATTTTATGTTGAAGTAAGTACTGTGCATTAATCCTTAAACTTATTTGAAGAAGATTCAGTCCAACAGTTTGGCTGATTATGTCGCTTATGTCAACTGGGAGGGGCTTTTCGGTTATACCCCCGAATTCTTAGTTTGCGGCTCATTTTTACTTAATTGAGCCGCAAACTGACTTCTTTCTTCAATTTTCGCCAACTTTCTGAGCATAAATTTCATTAAAAGGATGCTTAATGCATTTTTAATGGCCGTTAAGTTCGAATTTTTTGCCGTTGCCAGTTTCTAGCTTGATTTAACGCACGGGATATCAGCCCTGCATTTTTAAGGAAAATCAGTCAAATTTTGTAAGAAAAATTTTAGTTTTTATTTTATATCATTTGGGGGGGGGGGGGGGGGTATAACCGAAAAGACCCACTGGGAGTGACAAGTTTAATCTGGCTCTATAAGCTACAAAGAATATTTGATTGAGGTATTACTCGACATATAGATTGCCAATTATTTATTCGAGTTTTTGATTCTGTGTGAAAACTAATTCTTTATTCCATTGAAACGAGAGTAACTTGTCGCGCTGCAAATTTTGCAGATTGTTACTTCATCAATTATTGCCCAATTGGTATTAAACTGATATCATGCATGAAGGCCCCCTTACCCCCTGTCGTAGAAACAGTGCACCCTTCAAGTTCTCCTGGAACACGCACATTCCATACTCACTGAACACACCGTCGCTCGAAGGATCATTTCCTAAAACCACCAAACAAAAGCTTATTGTCAATATCGAACTTTTTAAAGCCTTCACATGGTTCTATAGTTTTTCCAAAATTTAAGCCTTAGAAAGCATTATCTTTAAACATAGAAACAATAAAATCTAAAATCTAAAATAAATAAAGTAAGTTTTGCATTGCATTAGGATGTTTTTTTTTCAACAATCGATTGTCAAAAAATTGTATTAGACTTACTAGCAGGGTTTTTGGGTGTCTCCTGCTAGTAAGTCCAGGATTGCCCTGGACTCTTAAAGTTTCTCGAGGCAAGTCTGTTTTGGAAGACAACATGTTCCCTGGCTTTTACTGGATTCTACCTGGCTTACGATTTAATGGGCCATCTTTTTATCCACAGGGGGCGAATTATTCCGAAAAACAAACTTAAAATTGTGAATGCTTATTGCTAAATAACAATATTGCATCTCACACAAAAAATGCGTGTCATCCTCAGCTGATTTTTTTGTGTACGTTAGCGATTATTCCGCAAACATTGAACTCACTTGGGCTACATGGAGGTGGACTCGGATTGGGACTGGGACTTGGTGCAGGGTTGTATCCATACTGACCACAACACAAGTGAACAAAACTCAATAGTACTGACAAGCTCTTCATTTTCATGTTATATTCTTGTCTTTATACCTACAGAATTTTTACTTAAGCACAACAAAAGTGTACTCAAGCGGTTAATGTTCGATAATATGATGAAAATTAGACCACAATATGGCACAAAAGTTCGTGCAGTTTTAGATTTTTAAAGATGAAGTGAATGCTAAAAATAAAGAAGTGAACAATCGTTTTTTTAATGATATGCTATAAAAAGGTGTGCTATAGAAAAATTAAGACATCACGAGTTCTTTGAGAAATCATTAATTAAATTATCAAAAAAGTATGACAAATTTATAAACAAATTGCACATAGAATTTATAACTTACTTTATCACCCACAAAGAGCTTACTTAATTAGCAAAAAACACTGAAAATACCAATTTAAATTGCCCAAACTTTCCAAAACTTATTAATAACTTAATTGAAAGCAAACTCTCAAGAGTTTTAACTCACTATGAAAGAAACAAAAATTCTTTCAGTTGATTTTGAACGCCCACATGTCTAGATTTGGGTAGGATAGAAGAAACAAGGTTAGTCGAACCTGATCTAAACTACATTTTACGATTGGATAAATTATATATTTTACCAATGTAAAGTATTTAATATTAACCAATCATGATCCATCTGACTAACAATCCACTTATTTGTAAGTGCTGAAATTACTTGTAATTTCAGCACCAGAGAGATTTGAATTTAACTTAGAAATTAGTTGGACTCTCCCGAGAACTTCAGCAGCCGCAATAAACCAGTATACCCTAGATCTATTGAGCCTAGCAGAGACTAGTTAAACAACCTGAGACTAGATAAGTATAAGAGTAAGATTAGGATCGGTATTAGACTAAGAAGTTGCACGAATCTATCCGGCCGAAAATAAGATAGCGTGACGAGCAGACGGTGTACCCTATCCGAAATTACTCTATGAGTTAACCACATCGGTCCTAACTCATCTGGTGCGACCATAAGTCTCGAACAAGACCTTAGTAGCTTAGAATTAACCAATAATAGATTAGAAATTAGACAAAACATTTACAAAATGTTATACGACGATAATTTAATCGAAATGTCTCTACGACTCAATAGATCAGAGCCAATATTCCGAACGATAACAGAACTACCCGGAATTGGAAGAAGACCTCGAACCAGAGACGACATACGATAAAGTAGAAACTTACCATATAGTTATATGATAGTTCGGCAAAAGCCAACACAAACTTTTGTATTTAGAATTTTATTAGCAATGAATTTAGATTTTCATTTGCAAACATAAAATCTTGAAGTCAATCTTCCTAATCATTTCAGGCGCTAAACAAAATTATTAATATACAATAACGATTGATAAAAAGATCTCAGATCGTTTTCCTAAATTCTGCAGTATTATACAAAACATGTTTGAAAAATATTTATTGAAAAATCAAAATAAAAATTAGTAGCATGACAATAAACGGTTAGTAATCATAAATCATCCTGTTGTTCCAGCTTCATCACCTAAACATAACAGCATTCATAAGCTCACTAATATCATAAAAACACTAAATCTTTTCTTCACACAAGTTTAAATCATTTTAAACTTAAATTCACTTAATTTTAAAACCAGATCATCAAGGCTTATCATTGGATCTTAAATCATTTTCTATTTAATTAAATTTAAAACTTGATCATCAAGGCCTATCCTTGGATCAAAAAGAACAATTTTGTTCTCCCCCACCCACTTAGCTAGTGTCTAACGACCTCAAACGTCGATTCACTATCCAACCCTTTCTAAAAACCCAGGACTAATAGAAATTTTTGAACAAAACTAATCATTCAAATTAGGATAAACAGTGAAGAACTTCGGTTATTCATCCTTCACTTGATCCCCCCTCTTACCAGACCCAGGATAAATCTTAGACTTAGTAAGTTTAAAATAGTATCTAACGAACTACTCGCGTTCTAATTATACCTGAACCTTGTGGATCGATTTACTATTCTCCAACCCTTGAACACAATCACTACCCTTAAGTAAGATTAAGTAAGTTAACACCTTAGCTTATACTAGCCACGAGAAAGTAAAAAATCATTCTTCGGAATCGATATACTTTTCTCTCCAACCCTGAACAAATAGACCCAGGTTAAGCTAACCAAAAAATTGTAAGGACTAACAGTCTAAGAAAATAGAAATCATTTAACAACCTTTTGCATCCGTCATCCTAAACCTTATGTCATTTAAAAACCTAGGAAATAAACAAACAATCGTTTTACACAATTGTGAAATAGATAACAAAAAATACGACCTTGTAATCACACCTCATACACAAACATTTGGATATATCAGAACAAAACGACAAACACTAAAAAGAAAAATAATAACCAAACAAAGACAAATTACACGAAAAAGATTTTCCAAAAACCGAAACGCATTTTCAGAATCAGAAACCAGCAGTTTAAACGAACTTTATAAATTAAAAGAATCAATAGATAAAAATTGCCCAATTCACGATCAATTATATTTTTCCGACTCAGAAACAACTTCAAATTCATCAAAAAGAGGAAAAAGAAGAATAAAAAAGCAATATAAACACAAACCAGTACACTTATACAATTGGAATCAACCAATTAGACACATCGATAATTACATATTAACAGTCATCAAACGAAAAAATGAGCTCAACGCACACCCCAGGTGAAGAAAGTCCAGATGATGATGATATCTTCCCCTTCATTGTAGATGCAACCAATGATAGAGGACAGCATATATTTTGCAAGAATTTACTCTTAAATTTGTTTGAACCCGGAATCAGCCCATGTAAAACAGAGTTCCCAGATGTAAAAATCAAAAGACAAATTATCGATCACTATCTGAAAGATATATGTAACTTAACACAACAATACGGAATCTACTCCATAGAATTCAGCTCACCAAACCAGAATCACAGCAAATATGTAATTCAAACAGACGACCTTGATTTAGAATTTTCAAAAGTATTCTCAGAATATATAAAAAGCATACAATATCATAACTCACAAAGAGCAAACTCCATATTCACCAATGAAGTTTTTGCAATAATATATAGTTATATCTCGATATTAGAAAACGAAATCCCAATCCCAAATGTCTCACCGACAGAAACATCTAAACATATAAGAGTACGACATGAAATCACACTACTCTCTAGTTTTCTAAATATAATTCAAGAAAATTTCACTAAAGATGAAGTTTCACCACCAACAAAACATGACTTACAAAAAATTTTGGCATGGTTTATAATAGATTATTTCACACATAATATTGATTTAATTTCACAAGCAAGAAAAAATTTTAGACCTCAAAACTCAAACGATGATACTGCCATCACAGAACAGTCAGACTATGTTTGGGACCCCGAATGGTCTCATCCCGCATTCATAAACTTCCCACAATCAATCTCAAGTCAAGCAATAAGTACGATATCTTATGTAAGAGATTATGTAAGAGTAATACCATTAACCATTGATGCAACACCATTAAACTATAATACATTTTTACCTGATATGCAAAATAATAGTTTAAACTCCACAGTCATACACAATGAAAACCTCAATGGAACTAGGAATCTCACTCAACAAGATATCCAGACACCATCACACTTCAAAAATGAAGAAATTGTACACACAACAACTACACAACAAAGCATTTCACCGATACGCCCAAATTTAACAACACCAAGAAATACAAACCCTTCACAAACACATGTAACCTTGCAATCAACCGTTAAACCTTCGGTTGCCCCAAAATATTCACACATGGATTATCAAACATACAGACCCATGACAATACCGTCAAAAACACGCAAAACGTTCACTAGAAACAATTTTGCAGAACATAATTATAATTACACACATCCATCAAAAACAAAATATCCCCCACGAAAAAATATTAATAATCATATAAGACCTCGAAACTGGGATAACCCAATGGCATCAACCAATTCAGTAAATTTTCAAACAAATTCACATCCTCCACAGGATCGTAGTGAAAATTATCCATTTTTTCAACAAAATAAAAATAAAAAACAATCATCTTATCAAATGGATTACTTATCCTCAGATGATGATTTTTTACAACCAGATATATTTGCACGATATAATCAAGAATATCGTGGACAAGGAGTACAGAAACCACATACAAATCATAGAATTTTTTCTCCACAACCGATAGATACACAAAATCAACAACCAATCCAAACACAAAACCCAATTAATACACAATCTTTTCAACCAATTCAGCAACAAAACCCAATGATCACACACTCGTATCAACCAACACAAATGCAAAATGAAATACCACTCCCATATTATCTTCGACAACACGAAATAACAAGAAATCAACTTTCAAATTTTTCTCAAATGCCAAATGCAGCAGAATCATTACAAATGACAATGAATCCATACCTTATGGGTGGATCATCAATAACATCAAACACACCTTTAATGGTATTTACAGGAACAGACCCTGAATATTCTGTAGAAGATTATTTAAATGCAGTAACAGCAAATTTGATTTTAAATATAGGACCTGAACCAATTAATACGCCACTACATCAAAACTGGATACATCGACGCACAGCGTTGATACAGACAACCTTAGACGGCGCAGCCCAAAAATAGTTTTCAGTATTGCCTATAGAAATAAAATCAAATTGGAAAAGGTTTACACAAGAATTTTCAAAAATGTTTGACTCCGAAAGAAACAAACAACAACAAAGAGTTTTATGTAATGAAATTCGCAGATTACCAAATGAAACAATTAAACAATTAGCAGTGCGTATTGAAACACTAGTTCGAAAAGCATATTCACTTAATACACATGACTATAAAACACAAAAATGACAGAAATCTTAATGATGACCTTAACACCGCAATTAAGGAAAATAGCAATAAAAAAGAGAGCATCCCATCCCTCCTCAATTCGAGAACCCAATTTAGATTTTCGAAAACTAGTAGACAAACTAGAACAAGCGGAAATCACAATGAAACTCGAAGAAACAGAAAATCTGAAATTACAATATGTTAACCGAATTGAAACAAATTCCACAAATATCAACAATATACAGGAATCAGATACAGACCTCGTTGAAAAAATCACTGAAATACTCAATATTTATGAAAAACACCCAAACTTCAAAGGCAAACCATC